GTGTGTGTGTGTGTGTGTGAGAGAGAGAGTGTGTGTGTGTGTGTGTGTTGAACTGACCCTTGAGCAGAGCCGATGACCAGAGCTGCACAGACATGTCTGGGATCTTACTGGCCAGCTGCATCGCAGGAACCACCATGTTGTTGCTCTCCTGAACACAAACACACAGAACGACTGACAGCGCTTCTACAGGACGCTCCGTCTGAGCAAACGCTGAGGAAGAACCGAGAGTAAGTCTGAACGAGTGTGTGTGTGAGTGAGTGAGTGTGTGTGTGTGTGAGAGAGAGATTTACTCTGTGGTTCCCCAGCACGAAGAATATGTGTCCCAGCAGCACCAGAGAGCAGGCAGTCAGACGATTCAGATCCTCCGCATTCGACATCTTCAGCGTCTCGCGCAGGAAACGCCTGCAAACACACACACACACACATAATCATCAACATCACTGACACACACACACACAAACACAAACACACTCTCAGACACACACACACACACACACACGTAGGTCTGAGAACAGGAAAAAGAAACTCACTTGGCTTCATTGTAGCGTCCCTGGAAGAAGGACAGAAGGCCTCGGATGTAGAAGGCAGCGGCGCGCAGACAGTGAGAACTGGAAACAGCAGAAACATGAAACTTCAGTTTATAACAGCAGAGATGAAGGCGGGAAAAACTCCAGCACAAGAGTTTTATACAGTACAGACAGATTCAAAACAGCTTCACAGAAATAAACAACAGTGTCAATGCTGTAAATTCATCAATTCATGAGTCTCTGAGTAACATACAGTGGTGATTGATTACTGAATGAATCCCCAGTATTGAACAGTATTGAGCCAATGATTCAGCTGTTTGAATGAATCGGTTGAACGAATGATTCACTGAGACAGACACTTGCTGCCATCTACTGGCGCTTTTAGTTTCATATTTTCATTTCCGTTTAAAATAAATCACTTCAAATTTACTTTAATAGCCATTTATTATCTTTGTTTATGCTGAATCAAAATATTTATTTCAAAAGCTACTTTTTTGTAATGTGTTTTGTTGGTAATTTCTCAACCAAAATTGATGGGCGATTAATTTTTGTATCAATTAGATTAATTAATCGGCACACTGTGTGATTACTTGGATTAAAATCTGTAATCGCTTGACAGCCCTAATATATATATACACACATCTTGACTATTTCAGCTCCTCTTCCAATCAGAATCAGGAGAATCTGAATCTGTTTTATCAGTTGAATTGTTCTGAATCTTTAGTTTTGAATTGAAATGTTTTTACATGGATTCATTCATCTGTTATGAATCCTCTGCTAAAGTGACAGTATTTCAGTCAGTGTGTGTGTGTGTGAGAGAGAGAGAGTGTGTGTGTGTGTGAGAGAGAGAGTGTGTGTGTGTGTGTGTGAGAGAGCGTGTGTGTGTGTGTGTGAGAGAGTGTGTGTGTGTGTGTGAGAGAGAGAGAGTGTGTGTGTGTGTGGTGTGTGTGTGAGAGAGTGTGTGAGTGTGTGTGAGAGAGTGTGTGTGTGAGAGAGTGTTTGTGTGTGTGTGTGAGTGTGTGTGTGAGTAAGTGAGTGAGAGTGTGAGAGTGTGTGTGTGTGAGAGAGTGAGTGAGTGAGTGAGAGAGTGTGTGTGTGTGTGTGAGAGAGTATATATGTGTATCATCTGTGTTACCTGACGGGGAAGTTGTGGTCTGGGTTTATCCGCTCTAATAGATTGTAGAGCTGCACAAATGAAGACAGAAGAAGAACAACATGAGTCATTGATGATTACTGATGATGGTGATTATGTATTTTATGATGACTGACCTCCTGATGTCTGTTTCCCTCTCTGATGTACACACTCGCCAGGTTAGTGACGATGAACGTCCACAGCTCCTGATGGGAGGTGAGCTGCACACACACACACACACACACACACACACACACACACACACACACACACACACGAATGAGCTCAGCTCTGTCACGTCTGTAAGAACAGTGTGTTTGCGTGTCTCACCCGCAGCGCTGTAGTGAACTGGGCCTCAGCGTTATCCATACAGTTAACAGAGATGCAGTACAAACCCTGAAACACCAACACATCACATGAGCGACACATACAGCATCCGTCATCTCATCTGACCACATCAAAGCATCACGAAGACTGGATTTTACTGAAAAAAATAAAAGCATTCTTCATAGGGCTGCACGGTTAATCAAAATGAAAACCGAAAAATCACGATATGGCTTAGTGCAATGATTAAAACACAAAGGCTGTGATTTAATTCAACAAATATCTGCGCTGTGTGTTTCAGAGTGAAGAGTGTCGCGGTGTTCATTTACGCGTGAGCAGCACATGATCCAGTGTTCTGAGCAACTCATCCATCTGCGTCTGCTGTGAGTTTCAGACGCTTTAATGTGATTTAAAAACACAACACGTGCCAAACATCTGAGCACATATCAACTAAAGAGAGTCTTTAAGGGCTCAAAATAAAAGTCAAATGAAAATGAAAAAAAAAATCAAGACAGCCATAAATACTAGTGTTGCAATGTTGTACTAAAATAAATGTTGTAATGTGAACTAAATTATTATTAAACTAATTAATTATTTTACCGTGAAATTACAATAGCAATACTTCTTGTTTTATTTAGTAATTTGTATATTTTTAATAAGCAGTAATAATAATAAATTATTAATTGATGTTTTTATTTTTATGAAAATTACTAATAAACGATTATAGATTATCATTAGTATTTTAATGGCCATATTAATCTCATTACAACATTTTGGCCAAATTGTGCAGCCCTGTAAACAAGCACAGGAAAAATCACAATCTCATTTTTATCTGAAAAATTGCAAATTGATTTTCCCCCAAATCATGCTGCCCTTATTTCTTCATATAAAAGAGTTCACTCTTAGCTCGCATTCAGACAGCAGATATAATTGTTGATGTTTATTTACTAGTGTGTGCAGGACACTATAGTTTATGTAAGTGAGGAGAGCAAAATAAATTAAACGGTGTCATATTATACCCATAATTCTTCATACAGTGGACTACCGGATCAAAAATGATTCAGACACTTTGAGCTTAGCATGTTTTGCTGAAGTGTTTTTCTTTAATTGCTAACGTGATCTTTTTACACCACAGACTGAACAGAATGAAGCACTGCTTGGTGATTAGTTGAGCTAAATTGGTTTTATCAAATTGTGTTCTTAAATTTAACAGCTGACAGCTATTCAACCGAATTCATTACATACCTTTCTATCAAAGTTATCTGACATTATCAAGATGAGTTTGTTCTGACAGTTTAACTCTGAGCTCTTCTCATATTTTATTACCATTTTCTCAACTATAGCAAATAAACTGATAATGTGAGAAATGTTGAAGGTGTCTGAATAAATTTTGGTTTGACTGTGTGTGTTTGTGTGTGTGTGTGAGTGTCTGTGTGTCTGTGTCTCTGTGTGTGTGTGTGTGTCTGTGTGTGTGTGAGAGAATGTGTGTGTGTGTCTGTGTGTGTGTCTGTGTGTGTGTGTGTGTGAGTGTGTCTGTGTGAGAGAATGTGTGTGTGTGTGTGTGTCTGTGTGTGTGAGTGTGTCTGTGTGAGTGTGTGTCTGTGTGTGTCTGTGTGAGTGTGAGTGTGTGTCTGTGTGAGTGTGTGTGTGTGAGAGAGAGTGTGTGTCTGTGTGAGTGAGTGTGTGTGTGTGAGAGAGAGAGTGTGTGTCTGTGTGAGTGAGTGTGTGTGTGTGAGAGAGAGAGTGTGTGTCTGTGTGAGTGAGTGTGTGTGTGTGAGAGAGAGAGTGTGTGTCTGTGTGAGTGAGTGTGTGTGTGTGAGAGAGAGAGTGTGTGTCTGTGTGAGTGAGTGTGTGTGTGTGAGAGAGAGAGTGTGTGTCTGTGTGAGTGAGTGTGTGTGTGTGAGAGAGAGAGTGTGTGTCTGTGTGAGTGAGTGTGTGTGTGTGAGAGAGAGATGATTGTGATGTTGTGGAGTTTGGTCTCACCAGCAGCGTGTGGAGCTGAGCCGCGTGATTGGAGAAGAGCCGTGGAGACTGCTGACAGAGCTGACACACCTGAGAGATCTGACACACACACACACACACACACACACACACACACACACACACACACACACACACACACACACA